GCTATATTCTTCTCTCAATTTCACCTCACACTACCTACCTACCACTACTCCTAATTGTAGGCATACGGGGAACCCTGTAGCAGCCAGAACCGTGTTCACGAGAGAACATGCGGGGGCTGCTCCCAACCTGCAGGGGCTGCTCCCAACCTGCAGGTGGGCGTTACCGGCTAGGGGACAGCCGGTAGCATCAGGGACCATGCCAACAGGACCAATCCCTGTGCCTCCCCTCAGGTCCCCCCTCCCCTATGAACATCAGCAGACTCTGCTAAATGCCAATCGGGGGATCCAGTGGTCTATCTCTAGGTGGCGGGCGCCAAGCATGCCCAGGAAGGTACACGAGGCCAATGGGGATTGAACCCACGACCTCCTGAATGCCACTTGCGAGCCTTACCAACTGAGTTAGGCCGCTGGATTTTGCACATGTTCTGAGGGTGCCCGAGTGCGGGCCAGGTTCGGTCATCATCAATCTGGTCAGGTGCTCGAAGCGGGACAGGTTGGCCCGTCCGATCTGAGGAGGACGACGAGAAGGTAGAACAGCGGTCATTGGCCAATGGCCAGTTATATAGGGTAGAGTTTCTCGTTTGCTAGAACGCGATTGGTCATCCCCGAAATGCGGTCCCTCGTGGAAGGGTCCGAGAGATGTGGCTGTGAAGAAGACCCAAGCCAATTGTAACGGAACTTTCCATATTGGGGACGTGGTCCTGGCGGCATCCACCCATTATACTCGAAAAAAACTTGTCCGAGAATTCTCTCGACGTGTTTCGCCTTGAATCCTTCCTGGATATGCCCTGATTTGAGGTGCGGCTATTGCACACACGCCCCTGTCAGGTTGCAGTGGGACGCAGGGCCCTCTTCTCATCAGGTGTAGCTCCTCAACCAATAGACTGGAGCCATCGCAAGCAGAGACCCGCATGCGATTGGTGCTCTTATCGGCATTCCTATATGGGCATCCTTTCTTTTTTTTTTTTTTTTTTGTAAGTGCAACGGCCTTGAGATATTATCATTGTAAAAAAAAAAAAAAAAAAAAAAAAAGATATTATCATTGAGCTGATCGGCCCCAGGCAATTCACTAGTAGTTGGTTTTACTCATCAAGTTCCATCAATCGGGATTCGAACACAGGTCTGTATTTCAACAGTTCACTGGAAGGGCCGTTCCACTGTAATTGCGGTCAGGTGCACGCATCAAAGGCCGCAATTTTGGTTAGATACATATACTCACACTCTTAGGCTATCGAAAGTCGCAAAGCATTATCGGCCGCCGGATCGAGTCCCAAGGACCCACACGGCCGCTGATTTTCGCAGTTTTGAGGGCCTACTGTAGTGTGGTGGCAATTGTGGTAGGCTACCCCCACTTTTGTTTTGTTTTGTTTTCTTTTTCTTTCTTTCTAATTTGTTTTTCTTTTCTTTCTTTCGTTCTTTCGGGGGCGAGGTCCCACCACCGTCTTCCGCCGAGCATAACGCACCCTGAAAATGAACGCATACAAGGTATTTTTCCAGCCCGATACAGTGAAAATCAGGGTGCGTTGTGTTCGGGGGAAGACGGTAGCAAAGAGGATTGGATTGAGAGCCGGAATCTGGACCTTTTTTGGGTGGAAAGTCGCCGAAAATCGAGATTGAACTGCGATTCTGCATCTCTGCTTTGAGCACGTCCAGATTCCGGGATTTATCCAATCCTCTTTGCTAGTGGGACCTCGCCCCAGGTGCCAATCCCCTCTATTTCCAAACTGGATGCGGTGGGGCATGCTAATCTTTTTTTTTTTTTTTTTTTGGGTTGGTTTTTTTTTTTTTTTTTTTTTTGTTTCAATTTTAAAGGTTAAATTG